TTAATTTAGGTACAATAACGAAGTAATTTATATTTGGTTTAATAATATAATTTTCTTATAAAGATAATAATTAATTATTTTGTTAGAACTCAATAATTATCCTAATTATATTTTAGATTTTTTATTTTTTAAAATAAGATGTTTATCCTCTATTTGATTATATTTATCCGTAATTGGTTATACGAATTCAAAAATCGAGCTTAGATAAGTTGTACTTTTGCATAATTTGCTTGTAATCTTGAATTTTAAGTAAACATTGGTTTTCTGTGGTTTTGAGAAAGTGGTTAAATTTTTATTTTTGAATAAAATATAAAATTAAAAATATTATAAAATTTTGAAAAAAAATATCGATATTGTTACACAAAAAAAAAACAATAAGGAAGAGATAAGTTGAACCCAAAAATACAAAGTGGAAACTAGAGTTTAATAAGAATTGTCCAACAAAGGGAAAGGGTATAGCGTTTACAAAACAAATAAAGAGGCGATAAATAACAACCTATTAATCTAAACAATCTTATGCCTAGATTAAGAACGGGTGTTTCTATCGTCTCCAACAAAAACGCCGTATCATCAAATGTGCAATGCTCCAAAACACCAAACACTTTAGCTACACAAAAGCCTTTTACGAGACTACGCTCCCCTCAACCCTTTTTAGTCCTGCCGCTAGAAGAACCTGACAAACAAGTCATTTCAAGAAAGAGTGTTAGGCTTACGCCTAGTGAGTCCAAATAGTGTAAAAGGAATGAACCACTATCCCATTATACATATGTGCATATATAGAAGTAATTGACAAAATTTTAACAATACAAGGAGCATAATAAATTTTAGATTTTCACGGGGCGGAGTCAGAACATCCGAAGATAACGGTGGAGACCCGATTTACCGTTAATTATGACGGAACACAAAGTAAGTCATAGATCAACGTTATAGAGCACCACTTACTGGTTTAATACCATTGACATCAACCTAACCAGTCATGTAGTCGGTCATTATCTTAAGCTCTTTATCTCGGAAATTACATAATAATCACAATGTCTATTTCCAAGTAGAAGTGTGAAGGTGATTTGGAATTTACATAATTATTACAATGCCTAAAACCAACTTACACCATCCTTCACACCAATACAATGAAACGAATTTCATTCTTTCAAAACCCACTATATTCTAGTGATATACTTGAATACAACATCATAAGCATTATAATACTTATTTATCAATAAGATTTTACGTATGTCCTAACACAAGCGATATAACCCCTCTTGCTAATAAAAGACTCCAACCTAGGGGCATGAGGGTTTTAAAGTTTAATGGTCAACAACACTTTAAGAACGAGTATTTTACCAAGTGATTTAAAACATTTATCTAAACTCAACTTATCAACATAAACATGGTTACCCAAGTTCATTCTTTTGACCCAATAATCTTCATTTCATCTAAGTAAGTAAATACATGAAGCTTTAGGCATAAGATAAGTAAAAGCTTCCTTACAATAGTGTAAAATTTTCATAGAAAGGGGTTAAGATGAACTCACCTTGGGAATTAGGATAAATCCCAATTTCTATGAATTAACCTATAGACAGAAGGAGATCTTAGCTCGAAAAAAAACAAGACCTCAACACGGAAAGGACATCAGTCCAGAAGACAGAAAGGGAAGAAAGAAGGCGCAGGCTGCCCTGGGCGCGGCACAGCGACTTCCGAGCCTGGTCAAGACCGGCACTTAACTGCGTCAAACGGTAGCTTACTGCTGCTTCGACTCTGCTTGCTGACTTCTCCAAACAGCAGCTTGCGGCTTTTTCGATTTCGTCTGCTGCGCGATCAAACATCAGCTTGTTGTCCCCTTTTTCGTTCGCTGCGCAATCAAACAGCAGTGTGCTGTTTCTCTTTTGGCCGCTGTGCGATCAAACAGCAGCCTGCTATTCCCTTTTTTGGCTAATGCCCGATCAAACAACAGTTTGCTGTTTCCTTTCGTCCGCTATGCGATCAAACAACAGCACACTGTTTCTCTTTCGGCTGCTGCGCGATTAAACAGCAAAGTGCTGTTTCCTTTCTTCTTTTTCTCCTCCTAACCAGCAGCTACGGCTGCTTCTCATTCTTTCTAGACAGCTGCAGCTGTTTCTCTTCTAACCAGACAGCCACGTTGTTGTTTCTTCTCCTAACCAACGGCTACTCTGCTTCTCCTTCCCTCTAGACAGTTGCGGCTGTTTCTCCTTCAGATAAGCAGCTACGGCTGCTTTTTCTCCCACCCAACAGGTCCATCCCCCTTTCCTTTCTTCTTTCTCCTTTCTCTTGATGATGGCAGTAGAAGGGACCTAATTCCATTTTCTTTCAGCTCTTGAGAATGGGATAAGGTAAAGTCATCAGACTGCAGCCTTCTCCCTACTAATATCATCACTCTAAAAAGTACATAGAAGTTAAGAATCTCCATGGAA